TAACGAGAACAGGGACACTAAAATCCCCACATAATCCGACCTTTCTAAAGCTGTACGTTCTCTGTCAGTTGAGGTCGAGCTGTTTTAGTTTACATTGAGTTCTATGGGACATTTTTCTGGGTAGTTCAACTGAATTTAGTCTGCAGTACCACAGGCGCCCCCTGTGCCCGTGGGTGGGACAGATATAAGCTAGTAATACCCTACACTGTAAAGAATTTCCTTGTAGAAAAACGGTAAAAAGCTGGCAAATATGGTTCCAGGGATTTACCGTTTTCTCAACATGGCATTACCGTTGCTAATTTTAACAATTAAAGACAAAATCACATTATGCCTTTGTGATTTCAGGATTTAACTGTATGTTCCTGTTAATTCATATACAACAAGAACAGCTTTATAATGTTCATGTTGTATTATTCCACCATATGACTGTTTCTGTTTCTAATTAGTTTCATTGAACAAAAAACTACACAGTTTAATTTTGTTTTCCTTTAAAGAAAACTACTTTTCAATTTTTTTTTACATTTTCAGTTTATACAAGAAAATAGTTGAAATCTTTACTTCTATAACATGCTTAATGCAAAAGCATCATTTTAACAAAAGCAGGAGTTTACACCTCTTACACTCATGGTTGCTGGTTAGCAAAAATTTCCCAGCATTCCAAAAATACAACGAGTTGATGTTAAATTACGGTAATCACATTATGATTTTATGGTATTGTTACGTTTTTTTGTAATCACATCATAATTGTGGTGATAAAACGCCACTGGATGTTTTTTTTACTAATTTATACTTACATTTGCATGTTGAAATAGTTTTTCAAAATAACATTTGTTTAATGTTGAAATTTCATTGTAATTTTACAGAGATTTGTTACAGTGTATCCAGTTATTATTATAGATCCATGATACACAAACCTATACACACATACATACATACATACATACATGCATACATGCATACCTAAATACACACGCACACACATACACATATGCACTCACACCCATGTACACACATACACACACCCACTCCCACACACACACATATCCACTCACACACAAATATGAACACACACACACACACACGCACACACACACACACACACACACACACACTAAAGTGTTTGGACGGTGAGAGAGTTCAGCATGTGATCTGATGGGATGACTCGGCTGCTTTCAAAAGCCTTGTCATGTTAATTACTTTACACTGATATCAAGTTTCTTTAAGCTGCAGATAAAGTTTCATGTTGTGGAGAATTAAAGTTGGACAATAACGTGATGGAACTTTTCATTTCAATTGTTCATAATATACATCTTGCGCAATAGAGATGATCTTTATAGCGACTGCAGAACGTGACATAACATAACTCTGTAAGTTAGTAATAAGGACTCATTGTAAATGTCATAGCAACCGAGAAGGTGCTCATTTCTTTCCCAGTGTGTCCTTGCATAGATAGTGTGAAAGTTTGACAGTTTGAATATATCTTCATCATTTCAAACTATCGAATACCAATTGCATCGCACGGATCAGTGTCTGGTCTTCTAGTTTAAGAGGGTTTCAAATAAGACCGACCTAACCGGACTGCATATCAAGAAAGTGCAACATAAAAAAAAGAGAAAAGTCTTCATACTTACTTTTTTCCATATTTAGAGAAATATGTGCACAACCCTTGTAGTTATGGATGTCGTTTAGTGTAACCCACTCCGTCCAGACTTTTGTGTTTGCAGCTGGGACGATTTTAAAGATGTGTCTATAAATGTGGTTTTTTTCACATGACTTTGCAATTACAATTTGATTTGCGATTTCTGGATAAGTCACATTCAAACATGAGGGTCAACCAAAATCATTAAAAAGTTGTAATTCTTTATTCCATGGTTTTTTCATCGTGGACGAGCAAGTTCTAAATTGGACTCTCCTCTTTCCTCATCGGATAAAAAAGTGCAATAAAATTCAGAGAAATACAACTTTGTTTAAGGTTTTTTGTGTGCCTTTTTGACATTTACAATTATCCTTGTCTTTCTAGGTCTGTTTTAAAGCTCTTAAAACATGGATAGCCATTACTGTCTGTAGCTGTTTGTAAAGGAAATTACATAAATAAAATAGCAATTAACCGCACAGTCCTAGTAAGTAATGTTTATTTATATAGCGCATTTTACAGACCTAGGTCACCCAAAGCGCTTTACAATGCTCAGAGTTCAGATATTGTTCCAATCATTCCACACACGGTGAAGACAGAAGCGAGTCGCCGAACACACTGGCGCATCAGCTCCCAATCAACACCATCCATTCACTCTCTCATTTACATTCATACCTATTGTGCATGTTTTTAGTAGTAGGGGAAACCGGAGCACCCGGAGGAAACCTACGCAGACACGGGAACATGCAAACTCCACTCAGAAAAGCCCAGGATTCAAACCCAGGACCTTCTCGCCGAGACGCGAGAGTGTCATAGCCACCCATATTTTCTACTGCCGGTTCATTTAGAATTATTAAAAAAAGGACAAACCCTCAGCCACAGTATTCCTCGGTTGTCTCCTCGCACTCTTCTCATTTCCCATTGTCTCCATTAGCGTCTAGCATTAGCGTCTAGCATTATCTCGGCTCCTAATAACTTTATGATAGCAGACATGAAAGTGCAACACGCGGCGCTGGAATAAAAGCCTTGATGGTCTAATTGGCAGGAGTACTTGTCTAATTATCACTTTTCTGCTTGTTCTCCGCGCCCAGATTATGTAATTATCTTTCGGAAACACTGAGGAGCGATAGTGCTTTTTGTATGTCACTTTCTGAGACGCCTCGCTACCTGACACTCAGCGAGCCACTTAATAACATGCTGGAACGCCGGCTAATTATATCATAATAATGACTTGATGAAAGCAATAAGGCTAGGCTGCGCGCTGACTGATGGCCACGTTACAGGGCTGCGGCTCCGTTTCCAATGCTTCAAATCACAGCAAACAAGAAGGCCTTTAATTACACTTACAGTCAGCACGCCGCGCCATTCTCTTTCATTATGCAAATCATTGTTTATACTAAATTATACCTTTCTGCTCAATGATATTTCCAGCAAATTGAATCCCTTATCAAGTTAATTACTCGTGTGTTTACAAGCCCCCCCAAGCTAGGATATCCCAATTACAGACTCCACCTGTTCAACGGGTGAGCTCTGGATTTGTTACAACTGCCGCTACACGTCGTCCCGCAGAGAGGAGCTTTGTCAGGGGGAAGGACCTCCGATAGACCCCTCGCTGGGCCCACAGATTTTACCCACTAACTCTCCGCGCGCAGCCTCCCGGTGGACGCGAAAAGCAGCCGTCGCGCACATCCGCAGAGGAAGAGGTGGATGATGGGTAACCCGGCGGAGGGGCGCGGCATCGGCTGCTTTTTCGAAACTTTTTAATTAGCGGTAATTACCTTTGCAGGGAAATGTTGAGGCTTGAAAGGATTTGTGTCAGCAAGCGGGAGATCAAAGATGGTGGCGCGGCGCATTCTAATCAGGGGGTGTGTGTGTGTGCGCTGGAGAGGAGGGGAAGAGGCGTCCCAGGTGGTACACGAGGACTGTACCCACCAGATCGCTGTCGACCAATCACACCGCAGGGCCCGTCACATTATCAAACGCTGCGCTCATGGAGAGGAATTAACTTTTTCATTTAGCTACTTTGGTCAAATCACTCATTCTCCTCATTTGCCTCGTTCTTTTCATACAGCTTTGTCATTTTGTTTTGCATATAGCCAACATTTGTACGGTATCCAAAATAAATTAGGCATCCCAAATGACAGAAGGGCATGTTGTTGTCCTGACACACACACACACACACACACAGGCCAAGAGAAATCCTACTCATACCGATACAGTATACAAGTACAAGAACATTTACATTACAATTGCTTATACTGTATGTGTGATCGCAATTGCGTTACCATTTCAAAAAATTTAGTCATAAACTAAAGTTACAAGATTCCTTTGATAGCCTTTTACAGGTTGCTCGTGGTATCAGAAAGATCTGTCCAATGCAGAGAACACACTTCCGTACGGAGACTATAAAGAGTACCTACTGTAATCAGCCCCACATGTAGTCTGGAAACTGAGTGGTCTGACCTGTTTTGGGGCGGATGTATTGAGTCCATTTATTGTAGAGTACTCCATATACTCGTGTTATATACATTGAGTTTTTGCTGTGGTGGCAGTTGGGTTACGTGCTACCAGTGATCAATACATTAGCAACTGAAGAGTGTTTTATCTGTTAGCATGTTTTGTTATTGGTTATTGAGAGCAATCAAACCTTCAAGAATTAACCCAAACCCTAATCCATAAATAGCCAGGGAAGACGCATACTGCTGTGTGTGCTTGAATGATTTCATAACAGCCTGGAAACTTGGTCCAAAATATTTGCATGGATTTGGGGACCAATCACGCAGGGAGGGATGGCACACTATTAGACCGACGGCAGCCTGTTTGTTTGTCCAGCAGATAAAAAACTAGCGTCCCTCACGTTAAACTTAAACGGTGAACGTTCGGCACCATCGTATAAACATCATTCATCTTTTTTATCTTCCCTTCTTGTCGTAGTTCTGTCGCGTGACATTACTGGATAGAATTGATGCAATTGGCCGAAAAGTGCCACATACAGTATGATATGACAGACCTCTCCTCGGACGATAAACATGTAAGGACAATCGTCAATAACACCTCTCTTACGTGAGAATGAATGAATAGTTTCCAGACTAAATGTTCACTTGTACAGTGAGCATGTACAGATGTGCAGTCCATTTTACTGTGATTTGGGTGAAAATGACCAATAATAATGCAGTGGTTTTATATAGCACTTTTCAGGACACTCAAAGACCCTTCATATATCATTACTCATTCATTCCATACACAGTGGTGATAAACTACTACTGTAGCACTAACCAGGGCCTGCCCTCCTTAGCTTCACAGATCTGACAGGATTTGGCTTTTGCATATTCTGCGTACACTTCTACTCTTTCTTGTTATACTAATGCTACACTTGAACAAAATCAAAACCCAGCTCTGTCCACTGTAGATTAGAAACAACCTCCCGCGCACACATCATAACAAAACAAACGTCTATCTGGCCCCCGCTGTAGCGCCGCTCGCTCATCTCGCCGCCATCCCTCAGCGCCAACACGTGCTCCGGCCTGTGATTTGGCGCCTGCCGCTTCATCCGCCTGACAGGCATTTCATAGAGGTGCTTTTTAATGCATGCCTGGACATCACTGTGGCAGGGTCATCCATCAGACTTCAAGACAACATCGATCATTTGCCATGAAGAGCGTGCCGGGTAGTGATTATTTGCTATTAGGTGGATGCTGAGGCATACAAATGGCTGGCAGTTGACAGTTGAACTCACTCAAACGTAATGTGGGATGGCGCCCCCTCTCACAGAGATGTTGACAAGCAGCGAGCCTGAACACTGTAATGACAGGGCCGGGCCGCGGACAGACAAACAGAGAAAAATCCCACGCACACACACACGACAATCTACTATCATTTTTATACCCTATTTGTTTACATTGAGCGATATATAAATATGAGCAAAGCAGAACGGAAAATGGCCGCTAATTACTATCATTGAATCCTTTCCCTATGATTGGCTGTCACGGCTGCGGTATATCATTATGTGAGCAGTGTGTTTGTACTGCTGGTGTCACTTTGATCCGTGCATTGGCTGCCATGTCATCAGCAAATTGATTTTAGCTCACACTCACTGAGGAAGGGCCGTGTTTGTCATGTGGAGAGACAACTAATCTTTGCCTACAAACAGTCACAAGGGCCGCGGCGAGGACAACATTCTCCCGCATATTGGATGTGTCTGCTCCTCAAACGAGACGAGCAGCCGACACAGCCTCGCCTTTCACGGCATACAGAAGGCAATTTACAATTATGGACCAGAATATCAGGGGGAAATGTGGGTGTCAAAGTTCTGTAGCCCCAGTCAGAGCCCTGGTCAGTCTGCATTTCATGACATTTGCACATGAATAGTTTTTTTTGTAAAATCAGTGCCATTAGAGAAATTAGACTTACAATGTGCTCATTACCGCTGTAAATATACAGATTTATTTTAGTGCCATACAAGTATAGTTTCTCCCGTTCTTGAGCAAAGCTTTTCAAACCTACTGCCGTTAACAAAACATGTTGGCAACGTTAGCTGGAGAAATGGAACTTAAAATGTTATTGTATGCCATAGCTTATTCTGCATCTATGTGTTTGTTTGTGAATGGTAAACCTCCAGTCCAATAAAGCTGGGATACCTCATTTTCAAACCACAAAAAAATAAACTATGTAATAAAATCCGTCTAGTTCCTCGCTCTCAAAAGAGTTAGCTTCTATCACTAGTTTTCACATGTATTTTTTTTATTTCATATATCTTCAGATCAGCGTTTTCAGACAAAAAAAGTAAAAAAAAAAATAGAACCGCCCTCACTTTTTTTCAAATATGTAAAAGATGATAACTTTTTTTTTTGCGCAGCCCTTAATCACAACAGCAGTCATCGTGAAGCACTTTACAAAATTGTCAATATGCCAAAAACAGATTAAACAGATTATTAATTTTTACAGGACCCTACACTTTCTGTCTTTCTGGGACAAAACCATATGTGACCAAACATTATGAAACCAAGACAGTGAGGTCGCCCCGATTGAATCAATGTCTTTATGATCATGTAATACAAATTTTTCTCATTTTATTCTTGCGTTGTTATGTTATGTCTCTTGCCATTGGTGTTAATGTGTGTGTGTGTGTGTCATTGTCTGTTATGTGTTTTGTTGGAGGGTTATTGTAGGGTTTTGATCCTATTTTTTTGTATTGTACTGTAGGATGTCTCTGGATAGGAGGGGATTGCATTAAAATAAGTTTTGTGCTTCGACCAATACATTTTCAAACCATGCTTTTCTTGTTTTTATCAGATTTTTCTGTGAATAATTGTTTGTATCTCATGCATAAACAAATGAAATGTTGCGAGATTTCAACATTAGTCAGAAGTGTATGGCCATGTCTTCACTCATGTTTTAGCGACAGACCTTGCCTGCGTCCACCATCTCTCTCCACATCTGCAGACCCCTGTAGTCAACCTCTCGTCCCCGTTGGGTCATTTGTGCAGCTTACACTTCATCCCGAGCCAAAGCGGGGTCAAGCGAAGGCTTATGTGGCTCTCTCTGACAGGCATGTCTGTCAGCTCCTTATCCCTGGGCCATGTCTGATCCTGGGTCATTAATCAGACCTGGATTTGAGATGCAGGAAAGTGTGTGGGCCAGGTCGTGATGACCCTGTACAGTGGCTCTGCTCCAGCCTGGACACACCTCTCTCTCTGCTCTGAGCCTTTCCCACGCCTTTATACAAGATATTACACAGTTAATATCCGATAAAAATGATTTAAATCAGTTATACATATGGAGGGAGAGATACAAAAACCTGACCCAGAAATGGACAAAGGGGAAGAAGTTGAACAAACAAATACATTATAATTTAAATATTGGTAATTGCTCCTATATGCACCTTAAGGTCCTCCATAATACTTTCTGCCTTTCCTCTCTCCTCTCCTTCCCTGCTTCTCTCCTCTCCTTTCCTCTCTCCTCTCTTTCCCTGCCCCTCTCCTCCCCTCTCTCCTCTCCTCTCCTTTTCTGCCTCCCTCCTCTCCTCTCCTCTCCTTCCCTGCCTCTCTCCTCTCCTCTCCTGCGGGTGAAGTGACAGGATCAGTGGCGGTCTGATTCACGGTGCTCCCAGCCCCGGTGCCAGCACTAATGACATTGGCAGAGAATATTAACCTCACACACTCAGCGGGGAGATCCACGGGGGCAGTCTATAACTCCCACACTACAGACTCCTCACCGCACTCATCACTCAAACCAAGGGCGTAGGTTTGCGTGGGGACCATGGGGACATGTCCCCACCAATATTTGGTGAGGACTAAAAAGTCCCCACCAAAATGACATGATGTCCCGTGACCCGGACGGTCCGGGACACATGTCTTCCGTTTGTGCATACGTCGCGCCTCCTCCTCGCCTCCTCCTCGCCTCCAGAGCAACAGCAGCAGCAGCAGCACGTGACCCGTTCCGTTCTCTGCAGTGATTGGCTGTCTTCTTCAGCGCCAAACTGAAGCACTGAGCAACTGTTTAATTTTTAAAAGTTAGCCAGCGTGAAGCAAGTGTTTTTTTTTCGTTCCCTGAGCGTTGTAGCACGTGAGTAATCAGAGGAAAGTACTGTGGATCTATTACCATTCAAAGTACTTACGTTATTTCTAATCTGTCAGCGCACTGTTTAATGTCCCGAGGAGCTCACACGGCACAGAGACAGAACAGAACTGGCTCCAATAAAGAAACAGGTTGGTTGAAAGGCTGAAAAAATACTTATTGTGCTCTTACTATCCAAAATGTATAAGTGGGTGTGTTGTGTGAATCAGGATAAACTAGGGATGAAAATATTCCACGGATCCACGATTTACAACCTTTATCTGCTGATAATGTAATTTCTGTGAAATGTGTGACAGCGGGCACTTGCTGTTATTTGCTCTAAGCACATTCAAGCGATGCACTCGAATGTGCACGTCCTGGTGCAGCTGCTGCCGCTTTGTAATGACAGCCGCGGCGCTCAGTGAAAGCACAGCTCTAACATGGTACCGAGCTCGGACCATATGCAGACAGAACCATGTTGCAAGTGCGGGTCTCCCTCGTATCTCCCGCGTTTCTCCCCTGTGTCTCTGACATGTCTCTCCCCTGACTCTTCCCAAAGCGCAACCAGCGCTCCCGAAATTAAAGCTCGGATACCTAAATTTTCCATTGCGTTAACGATGCATGCTGGTTGTGCGCAAAACATACCACAACAGGTCATTTAAGTTTTTATTTTGCATACTTGAGAGCCCTGTGAGTCCTTACTTGCCTTTTTGGGTTGAGAGTGGAATTAAAAAAAAGAAAATATAGAAAAATCCACACTGTTACTTATTGCCAAACTCTTGTTAACTCATTGTATTGAGAAATACTATGTAACTTTTGGCATTGGCCAAGTTATATAAATGATTCTGCAGTTCATGTATATGAATGTCTGTTTTTGATTGTCTATACCTTCTTATATAATTTAGAAAAAATGCCACCTCCACAAAAAAAGATAAAATATATCAGGAGCTTTTTTAACAGTTGGAAAGTAAGTAAGAGAAAGCACAAGTAATAGCAAATTATGAATTGTGATGATTAATCTTCTGTTAACATACATAGGAAACTCAACCAACAAGAGAGAACAATATAGGGAATGTTGAGGTGCATCAGGTGAGGTTGGAATTTTGTAGGTATGCATGGGACTATGAATTGTTTTTAGAGATTGATCGTATATGTCAAACAATGTAGTGAGCTACTCACTGTAGATTCTAATTCAATATTTTCTCCTCTGTTTTTATTTATTATAGGAAATTGAAAGATCAGAGCATGATTTATTTCAAGTATCGAGAGCAGTTCCTGAACTGTTAGAGCCTCAGGTGAGGGCTATTATGTAGGTTTGGATTAGGTTTAAGTCAGTATAGAATGAACGCAACACAAAACTCAGAAGCTCTGATCCAATTTATTTTGTTTTAACTATTAGAAAAAATCCTTAACTGCTTCTCATTCAGTCTACAGCTGAGTTTAGTATAGAAGGCAACACACTATTGCAAATATAGTGTGTGATTACACAACAAATTCTGGGGGAGAAACTCTGGACCCCGTGTCAATGGGTGTAGACTCAGGTCGTAGTGAATGTCCCCACCAAGATTGGAACCAAACCTACACCATTGACTCAAACACCAGCTCCTTTAAACGTCCCAGATAGCTACACACTCTGCGCTTCGAGTAGAGGTGGGAAATTGTTGATTTGACGATAAGCGGAATTAGAATGTCAAATAGTATGTATTCAAAAGTAAGTGTAGAAAAGACCTTGTTAAAGCTGCACTAACTGACTTTATTTTCGTACTCATTACGAAAATGCTATCCATGTCCATGTAGTGCATTGTGATATACGTCCTTTTGAAGAAAAAGTAGCGCAGATTTGTGCTGGCGTGACATTATTTTTTAGATCGAGTTTTTATGAAAAAAGGAAGAGAATGTGTTTTGGGTCGGAGATTGTGACCAATCACAGCGGACCACTAGCCCCCACTTACGTGAGAATTCTACAGGTCCGTTAGCACAGACGGCTGAGTTAGCACAACAAGCCGAGGAGCTAACCTGAAGCTTCCTCGTCTTCGTCACCGGGTACTGCTTACACAGCGAAACAGCCATCCAAAAGAAAGTCCCGTTCCTCCTCACTTCCAGGTTCTATCGATCTACGGTCACGCCATCCACGCTCAAATCCATATCCATGTATTATCCATATTGGGAGAGGCTAGCTCCGTCAACAACAGTGGGTGTGTGTGGGGGGCGATAGCTTCGTGGGTGCGGGGAGGGGAGCAGAAAGAGCGAGGACAGAGAGTCCGCGGCTTCAAAATTCCAAAGTTAGTTAGTGCAGCTTTAAGTTGTTGAGGCCCAAAGATGACATCCAACTTTTTTCCTCAGGAAGTGCAAAATGATAAACATATTTCTCTTAAAGAAAATTAGAAAATATTAGCAATCAGAATAAATATGTGCAGACCCGATGAAACTTTTCAACCCCCTTTTCAAACCTAAATGTTTAGCACCGCCCCTCAACTCGATCACAGGCTTCTCACTTTCCCTACGCTCTCATCCCACGGAGACATCTCGTTTGATTTGCGATATGATACGTGTGCAAATATTAGCATTAGCGCACAAAAGCGTACAAAAGCAACGCACTGCTTACAAAATATATATGTAAAAGATTACCGCTAGTTTTGCGTCCGAATGTGGTCCGAGCATAGATAGTCCGAGACAGTCCCGCAGGTCTCTCCCATAGACAAGTCTCTCCAGATGTTCACCCGGGCTTGATAACTTCTTTGATCATTTTTTCGCTTTAGTTCCCTCTTCTCGTCTTCCCTGTTGAGTCGTTTGGGCTGTTTTGCTGTGTGTGAGTTATACAGCAGCCACTTTCTGCTAACATGCTTCTCTTGTTTACCAGCGCTGTAGAAGCTAGAGGAACGGCCTGAATTCGAATGAAAAATAGCCGCTTGGTTAATTCTGGCATATTTACAGATAAGTTCATAAATATGCTCTGTCCCAGTATTAATTAAATAAATAATAAATACTACGTTTGAAATAAATTCTAAAGAGGCAAATAGTGACTCACAGTTTGCAACAGAGAACATGTTTATATTAAGATCGAGGCAGAATGTGGCTGGATTTGTCGACAGAATTGTACTTTTACTTCTCTCTTTTTGTGGGTCAAACAAAAAGTTATTCCTGAAAATACCTTGTGGATGGGTCTTGGAAGAAACATGTGAAGCCAGATCCCATCAGACCTATGTAGCTAAGCAGGGCAGGGCCTAGGTTAGTACTGTGATGTTAGACCTCTGGGAGCCACAGTGGGGCGGCTGCAGCTGTCCTTGGGCAAGACACTTCACCCACAGAATAGAATAAGTCTGGTGTATGTGTGAATGGTTGGTGGTGCTTGGAGCAGGCGATGGCACATACTGGTTGCCTCGCTTCTGTCAGTGTGCTCAGGGCAGCTGTGGCTACTGTACTGTAGTATAGTTTATCACCACTGTGTACATGTAGTGAATGGATAATGACATGTGAAGCGTTTTGTGTGTCCAAAACGCGCTATATAAACTATTATCTGGCTCTAATGCAGCAGATTCGCACGCTCACAATTCTTTCAGTCGCTGTTGTTTTGTTTTGTTGTGCTTTTCATAATCCTGCATCAATGCACACACACACACACACACACACATTATTTTTCAATTTATAACTGCAATTTAGCATGTGTGCCCCCCTTAACAAATAAAGATGTCGCCCCAATATCTCCCTGTCTGCTCAAGTTAACTTATCAAGCCTCGCATTCGAACCCTTGATGTAACCAGCCTTACATGCAAGCTTAAATCTGACACGCCACCTCCGATGGCATCGCCGGTGGTGCGCTCATGCGGCCCTCTGTACGGCACACACAGGCATCAGAGGCACACGCAATTTGCACAATATTCAAAAACAGATTAGGAGCGAACCCACATATAAAGGGGGAGATT